AGTGTCAGGATGAAGATGAGGAGATGTGGGGGAGCAGTGTCAGGATAAAGACGAGATGTTGGGGAGCGGTGTCAGGATGAAGAAAAGGAGATGTGGGGGGCAGTGTCAGGATGAAGATGCAGAGATGTGGGGGAGCAGTGTCAGGATGAAGATGAGGAGATGTGGGGGAGCAGTGTCAGGATAAGATGAGATGTTGGGGAGCAGTGTCAGGATGAAGACAAGGAGATGTGTGGGGCAGTCTCAGGATGAAGATGCGTAGATGTGGGGGAACAGTGTCAGGATAAAGAGAAGTAGGGGAGCAGTGTCATGATGAAGATGAGATAAAAGGGAGCAGTGTCAGGATGGAGAGAAGTAGGGGAGCAGTGTCAGGATGAAGATGAGATAAACGGGAGCAGTGTCAGGATGGAGAGAAGTAGGGGAGCAGTGTCAGGATGAAGCTGAGATAAAAGAATATAAAAAAAGAAAACAATATGAGAGATAAAATGTCACTATGTGCAGATTCCAGAATGTATTATTAAGTAAGTATATAACTTATAGCATGGAGTTTCCTTCTAGAGAGCTTTGAGTTTTAGTAATGTGACAACAGCCCCAGGGGCCCTGATTGTAAGGATTAAAATCTTACATACTAGTTTTTATCACTTATTGCATCATTTTTCAGACATTCTGACCAATGATACCTAGGGTGGCCATATACAGTCCGGTCTTTAAAAGTGATGCATCTAATTTGGGCATTGCTTGCCTAAATCAGATGTCCATAGTAGGCAACAATGAACACCTTTGATCATTGGAAGTGCTAGCCATCACACACAAAAATTGTTTGTTTGTATGCTTAATTTTGAAAAGTCAATGTCACTTAAAGTTCTTCTAAGTGGAGGACTATTAGAATAAAATGATGTGAACATTTCAATACTGTCTATAGCTTGGGTTGCCACCTGTCTGTGCCCTGGCTGAGTTTAGCTGGCCTGAAACCCAGAAAAAGCACATACGGGACTCAAAATCCGGACTGTCCAGGTGAATCCAGGACAGGTGGCAACCCTATCTATAGCCCACCATGTAGTTATCTAAATGCACATCTAAGTAATTTGATTGCAGGTACATACAGTATATCTACTGAATATAGCAATAGGACAGCTCAGAGGGGGAGTTTCCTCAATTTAAAGAAATTGTCTTTGATATCCTGTTGGGTCTTTGAGAAAGGAAGGAGAAATCTCCCCATTGGGTCACAGACAAGAAAAAAATATATTGTTGGGGGTGTTAACCCTTTCCTACTACTATATCCAAAACTAAGAAAAAAATGTGGTTGTACATACACTTTAAACCACTGGATCTTGGACAGAGTCCAGGATAGGGAAAGTGGATTGAGTTGATAGGCCTCCATGCTAAACTATTTTGGGAAGCATATAGATCTGTAAATATAGCCTACTATTGACTGGTAGAGCTGTTGGCAAATCAGTTAATCTCTGGGCCAGCCAGGCTAAATTTTTGCATCCGCCCTGCTTTAAAATCACTGGGAATTAGTGTCTGGGTGTGCCCACCAATAACAGCTGTGGCCTACTGATGTGTCTGGTATGTGGCTGCACACATATCCTTATTTTTTATTTCCTTCTTCCTGGCCCTATGTTCACATACAAGGAAATGTACAATCAAGTTAGAAGAGAGTGTCAGTATTAAGAATGTACAATCAAGTCCTTGCACACAAAAAAACAGCTTGCAAATGCTGTGAAGAACTTTGCACATCATACAGTTGTAATTTATTCAAGGGTTGTTATTTTTCTGTAATTCAATTTTGGGAAAGTTATGTGGCTAGTTTAGTTCCAGTTAATAATAAGCAGAGTCAGGGGCGTAACTAGAAATCACAGGGCGCCATAGCAAAATTTTGTATGTGGGCCCCCCATCCAACCCCCTCTTCCCCGGGCCAAAAAATGACCGTGTGGGTTGCTATAGCAGTAGTTACACCACTGCATGGAATAGCAGTGTCAGGATGAAGATGAAGAGATGTGGGGGAGCAGTGTCAGGATGAAGACGAGGAGATGTGGGGGAGCAGTGTCAGGATGAAGACGAGGAGATGTGGGGGAGCAGTGTCAGGATTAAGACGAGGAGATGTTGGGGAGCAGTGTTAGGATGATGATGAGGAGATGTGGGGGAGCAGTGTCAGGATAAAGACGAGATGTTGGGGAGCGGTGTCAGGATGAAGAAAAGGAGATGTGGGGGGCAGTGTCAGGATGAAGATGCAGAGATGTGGGGGAGCAGTGTCAGGATGAAGATGAGGAGATGTGGGGGAGCAGTGTCAGGATAAGATGAGATGTTGGGGAGCAGTGTCAGGATGAAGACAAGGAGATGTGTGGGGCAGTCTCAGGATGAAGATGCGTAGATGTGGGGGAACAGTGTCAGGATAAAGAGAAGTAGGGGAGCAGTGTCATGATGAAGATGAGATAAAAGGGAGCAGTGTCAGGATGGAGAGAAGTAGGGGAGCAGTGTCAGGATGAAGATGAGATAAACGGGAGCAGTGTCAGGATGGAGAGAAGTAGGGGAGCAGTGTCAGGATGAAGCTGAGATAAAAGAATATAAAAAAAGAAAACAATATGAGAGATAAAATGTCACAGAAGAGAGCCGGTGACAATGCAGATGGAGAGAAGAACGACTGTAGAGGAACTGTGCTGATTGATACGGATGGCCATGACAAGACTAGTCACAGCGGAGCATGGCATGAGACTCCAGCAGAGATTCATCTATAGAGTTGAAGCAAAGTGCAGCAGAAATAATGAGTGCACAGACAGGGGGCAGTGTAGGCTCAACACCGGACGTCTAGAGAACTTTTATGACACCATGAGAGAATGAAAGGTGACAAGAGGATAGTGCAGCTGGGCAGAGGTTAATCAGTAAACTGTCACATCTGTTATCTCTGAGAGATAGAGGGAGGATATGCACGAGGATACACAGCTTACTAACTCTACTCACGATCTCTACTTACGATCTCTACTCACTGTGTTGGAAGTTCTCCGTGTATTTCTTCTGCTGGTTATGATGTCAGAACCGAAGGCACAGCCGAAAAGATCACTCCGCCTTGTGGCTGCAGGCACACAACAGTTGATTGAAAAGGTCTGTGCAGCTGCTGTACTAAGAAAAAAAGTGCCTTAGCCCGCTCCTGACCGGGCCTCCCTCTGCCCCGGGCCCCATAGTGACCGCGTGGGTCGCTATGGCGGTAGTTACGCCACTGAGCAGAGTACATCTTCACTTCACAGAGACATATGATATACAGTAGATCACTAATGTTACAAATTGTGAGTGCAAAAATAAGCTATAGTTTTATAAATACTGGTTCTCCCCCCGGAAATGGATGCCTCCACTTTGTGTGTACATGACAGGTTCACTTTAAATAAACACAAAGTCAATGGCTATAGAAATGAGTAGAGATGGTTTGCGTGAATGGTTATAAAGGTTTGTAATCTAAATTTGACCTAAAATAACTCCTAGCTATTTCCATCCTCTATTATTGAATGCCTGCAGTGACTAAATGGATTCCGGAAATACAAGTAGTATGCTAAGAGGCATTTATTATGTCACAGTGAGTCAGATTTCATTTCCACCACTCACTTGAGCACAGTTGCAGGTGCACAAAAAAAACCTGTTTCTCTCTATTACAGATTTTAGTGTCTCGCCTTAAGCTATATTGAACACCCAGAACAGATTAGATGAGTTGTTTTTTTAATGAATACATACAATTGTATTGAAAACCTTTGTCTCCGAAAAATTAAAGCTTTACACACATAATCTACATCAGTGGTAAAGCAGGTTTTTGGGCACTTATTGTGAATCTCCTTGTATTTTAGTCACCAATTCAGTCAAACTGGTTTGCTAGTTTGCTCGCTTTCAAAAGGATTCATGGTAGGTGTTGTCTTTATATATAGTCAATATAGGCACAGAGGTAAATTGTTTTAACATTTTCTAATGGTGGTGTGCCTCGTGATTTTTTTCATGAAAAAAGTGTGCCTTTGCACAAAAAAGGTTGAAAAACACTGGTTTAAAGAACAGGGGAGAACCCCCCTTGGCTAATGAAGAGTAATGCCCATAGATCTGTAAGTAAGTTTTTATCCACGCATGCTGTTTTTTTCATTTAAAATAAAGAAGGAAGGAAAGCACACGGGTGTCATTGGATTTTGCTGAAATAGGAAGGATGTAGAAAAAAAAAGTACAGGTTTCTTTTTTTTTTAACATAGTGGTGCTACGATGTACGTTACAGAACTTAAAAGAGAACTATGGGGTAAGTGTTTTTCCCCATAGTTCTCTTAAGGGTCACGGGAGGACATATACTAGCGTCCTCCTGTGACCCAAAGCTCAGTATATCGCGAGCTACAGCTCGCGATATACTGAGACTGCTGCAGCCGGGACGGACCCCAACATTACTGTCAAGATCCACCCAGCTGCGTGAGTGACAGCTTGCTCTGCCTATCTAGAGGCAGAGCCAGCTTTGCCCACCCACTCCCCCGTCCATTCCTCCAGTCAGCGCTGGAGGATCGGAGAGGGGAATCTCTGCAGGGAGCCGTGACTGGCATTCACGGCTCTCTGCAGGGAGATGATCGAGAAGCGAGCGAGCGATGGTATGTGTTCACTCGCTTCCCGATCTGTTGAGCCGACATGTGACAGTTTCATTGTCACACGTCAGCTCGAACTATGAGGATGGGTGATTTCCACTCACCTCATAGTTCTCCTTCAATGCAGCATGGTAACATCCAAGCATCAAATGTTTTTTTATTCAAAATCAGCAAGATACATTAGCAGTAGCCACAGATCTAGTAAGAGACAGATGAGAACCTCAATATGTAGACAGAGCCTGCCCATGTGCATTCTGCTTTAGGAGAGTTTTGCATTCTCATTAGAAATAGGGAAAGACTTGTTTGCCCCCTTGGACTATTGCTAATCTTTAGACTCCTACAGAGTCCGGTTTCTTTGACATGGGGTACTTATTGCTTTGACAAATCCAAAGCTTATTGCTTTGACAAATAGAATATGATGTATAAAGCAGACAGAAAATCCCTATACGTGAGGTTTTGAGCCTAATTGTTTCCCAACTGTAACCTAAAATCAATGGTCCCCTAATAAACTATCATCTTCTTATTTCTCACAGTGTTATATAGTTAATGATTTAGTTAT